AGAGTGCTAACCATTACACAATAGAACTACATGTTTCTTATCTGAGATACTAAGTTTTTTGTCTATCTCTAACAAGTTGAAACAAGGAAAACATGAAATATTTGTTTTTTTTTAACAAAAAAAATGGTCCTACCGAGATTTAAACTCAGATCGCTGGATTCAAAGTCCAGAGTGCTAACCATTACACAATATAACCTGATAAATCCTAGCAAATTTACTAAGTTCTTTGTCTATCAACAGTTAAAACAAGGAAAACATGAAATCTTTTTTTATTTTTACCAAAATAAATGTCCTACCGAGATTTGAACTCAGATTGCTGGATTTAGAGTCCAGTGTGCTAACCATTACACCATAGAACCTGATAAATCTTCGCACAGTTACTAAGTTGTTTGTCTATCTCAAACCAGTGGAAAAGGGTAAAACATTAAATCTTTTTTATTTTTACCAAAACAAAGGTCCTACTAAAATTTGAACTCAGAACACTGGATTCAGAGTCCAGAGTGCTAACCTTTACACCATAAAACCAGATAAATTTTGGCACAGTTACTAAGTTTTTTGTCTCTAAACAGTTAAAACAAGGAAAACATGAAATCTTTTTTATTTTTACCAAAACAAAGGTCCTACCGAGAATTGAACTTGGATCACTGAATTCAGAGTCCAGCGTGCTACCCATTACACCATAGAACCTGATAAATCTTCACACAGTTACTAAGATCTTTGTCTATTTCAAACCAGTTGAAACAAGGAAAACATGATTTTTTTTTTTTTAAACGGTCCTACCGAGATTTGAACTCGAATCCATGGATTCAGAATCCAGTGAGCTAACGCTTACACCATAGTACCTGCAAAATTTTAGCTTTGAGATTTGAACTCTTTTTTATTTTTACCAAAACAAAGGTCTTACTGATATTTGAACTCGGATCACTTGATATAGAATCCAGAGGGCTAACCATTACATCATAGAACCTGACAAATCTTGGCACAGTTTCTAAGTTTTTTTGTCTCCAAACAGTTAAAAAAAGGAAAACATGAACTCTTTTTTTCTTTTTACCAAAATAAAGGTCCTACCAAGATTTGAACTCAGATTGCTGATTGTATTTTAGTTAATAAGTATTTTGTCTATCTAAAATCAGTTTTAACCGGCAAAACAAAAAACCTCTTTAATGGTTAGCAGAAAAAAAAGTCCTACCGAGATTTGAACTCGGACCGCTGCATTCAAAGTCCAGAGTGCTAACCATTACACCATAGAACCTGATAAATCTTAGCACAGTTACTAAGTTCTTTGTCTATCTACAAACAGTTAAAACAAGAAAAACATGAAATCTTTTTTTGTTTACCAAAATAAATGTCCTACCGAGATTTGAACTCAGATTGCTGGATTCAGAGTCCAGCGTGCTAACCATTACACCATAGAACCTGATAAATCTTCACACAGTTACTAAGATCTTTGTCTATCTCAAACCAGTTGAAACAAGGAAAACATGAATTTTTTTTTTTTTTTTTAATTTTCCTACTGAGATTTGAACTCGAATCCATGGATTCAGAATCCAGAGAGCTAACGCTTACACCATAGTACCTGCTAAATTTTAGCTTTGAGATTTGAACTCTTTTTTATTTTTACCAAAACAAAGGTCTTACTGATATTTGAACTCGGATCACTTGATATAGAATCCAGAGGGCTAACCATTACATCATAGAACCTGACAAATCTTGGCACAGTTACTAAGTTTTTTGTCTCCAAACAGTTAAAAAAATGGAAAACATGAACTCTTTTTTCTTTTTACCAAAATAAAGGTCCTACCAAGATTTGAACTCAGATTGCTGATTGTATTTTATTTAATAAGTTTTTTGTCTATCTAAAATCAGTTTTAACCGGCAAAACAATAAACCTCTTGAATGGTTAGCAGAAAAAAGGTCCTACCGAGATTTGAACTCGGATCGCTGGATTCAAAGTCCAGAGTGCTAACCATTACACCATAGAACCACACATTTAATAGTCGAGATAATAAGTCATATGTCTATCTTCAACCAGTTTTTACCAGGAAAACACAATATTTTTTTATTGTTAGCAGAAAAAAAGGTCCTCCCGATAATTGAACTCGGATTGCAGGATTCAAAGTCCAGAGTGCTAACCATTACACCATAGAACCTAATATATCTTAGCACAGTTAATAAGTTCTTTGTCTATGTATAAACAGTTAAAACAAGGAAAACATGAAATCTTTTTTATTTTTACCAAAAAAAGGTCCATCTGATATTTGAACTCAGATCACTGGATTCATAGTCCAGAGTGCTAAACATTACACCATGAAACCAGACAACTCTTACTTTAGTTAATAAGTCTTTTGTCTATCTAAAATAAGTTTTAACCGGCAAAACAATAAACCTATTTTTTGGTTAGCAGAAAAAAAAGTGCTACCGAAATGGGTAAAACATTAAATCTTTTTTTTTTACCAAAACAAAGGTCCTACCGAAATTGAAATCAGATCACTGGATTCAGAGTCCAGAGTGCTAACCATTACACCATGCAACTAGACAACTCTTACTTTAGTTAATAAGTGTTTTGTCTATCTAAAATCAGTTTTAACCGGTAAACCAATAAACCTCTTTAATGGTTAGCAGAAAAAAAAGGTCCTACCGAGATTTGAACTCGGATCGCTGGATTCAGAGTCCAGAGTGCTAACCATTACACCATACAACCAGACATCTCTTACTTAGGTCAATAATTATTTTCTGTATCTAAAATCAGTTTTAACCGGCAAAACAATAAACCTCTTTAATGGTTAGCAGGAAAAAAAAGGTCCTACCGAGATTTGAACTCAGATCGCTGGATTCAGAGTCCAGAGTGCTAACCATTACACCATAGAACCAGACATTTAATATTTGAGATAATACGTCCTATGTCTATCTTCAACCAGTTTTAGCCAGCAAAACACTGAATTTTTTTTATTGTTAGCAGAAAAAAGGTCCTAACCGAGATTTGAGCTCAGTTCGCTGGATTCAGAACCCAGAGTGCTAACCATTACACCATAGAACCTGATAAATCTTAGCACAGTTACTAAGTTCTTTGTCTATCTACAAAAAGTTAAAACAAGGAAAACATGAAATCTTTTTTATTTTTACCAAAAAAAAGGTCCTACTGATATTTGAACTCAGATCACTGGATTGGGGGTCCAGAGTGCCAACCATTACACCATAGCACCTGATAAATCTTAGCACAATTACTAAGCTCTTTGTCTATCTACAAACAGTTAAAACAAGGAAAACATGAAATCTTTTTTTATTTTTACCAAAACAAAGGTCCTACCGAAACTTGAAATTAGATCACTGGATTCAGAGTCCATAGTGCTAACCATTACACCATACAACCATACAACTCTTACTTAGATTAATAAGTATTTTGTCTATCTAAAATCAGTTTTAACCGGCAAAACAATAAACCTCTTTAATGGTTAGCAGAAAAAATGGTCCTACCGAGATTTGAACTCGGATTGCTGGATTCAGAGTTCAGAGAGCTAACCATTACACCATAGAACCTGATAAATTTTAGCACAGTTACTAAAATCTTTGTCTATCTACAAACAGTTAAAACAAGAAAAACATGAAATCTTTTTTTTTTTTACCAAAATAAATGTCCTACCGAGATTTGAACTCAGATTGCTGGATTCAGATTCCATCGTGCTAACCATTACACCATAGAACCTGATAAATCTTCACACAGTTACTAAGATCTTTGTCTATCTCAAACCAGTTGAAACAAGGAAAACATGAAATATATATATATATTTTTTTAAATGGTCCTACCGAGAATTGAACTCGAATCCATGGATTCAGAATCCAGAGAGCTAACGCTTACACCATAGTACCTGCTAAATTTTAGCTTTGAGATTTGAACTCTTTTTTATTTTTACCAAAACAAAGGTCCTACTGATATTTGAACTCGGATCACTTGATGTAGAGTCCAGAGGGCTAACCATTACACCATAGAACCTGACAAATCTTGGCACAGTTACTAAGTTTTTTTGTCTCCAAACAGTTAAAAAAAGGAAAACATGAACTCTTTTTTCTTTTTACCAAAATAAAGGTCCTACCAAGATTTGAACTCAGATTGCTGATTGTATTTTAGTTAATACGTTTTTTGTCTATCTAAAATCAGTTTTAACCGGCAAAACAATAAACCTCTTTAATGGTTAGCAGAAAAAAGGTCCTACCGAGATATGAATTTGGATCGCAGGATTCAAAGTCCAGAGTGCTAACTATTACACCATAGAACCACACACTTAATAGTCGAGATAATAAGTCCTATGTCTATCTTCAACCAGTTTTTACCAGGAAAACACAATATTTTTTTTATTGTTAGCAGAAAAAAAGGTCATACTGATATTTGAACTCGGATAGCAGGATGCAAAGTCCAGAGTGCTAACCATTACACCATAGAACCTAATATATCTTAGCACAGTTAATAAGTTCTTTGTCTATGTATA